ACAATTCTGTCAGTTGTTTTTAAAATATCAAAGGAAATTAAAACACCTGCCTTTCTTAATCAACCCGGAAAGTTTTTGTCTTTAACTTAACAGTGACAAATGCTGTCCATATGGCTGGGGTACCAATTAGCTACTGCCTTAAAGTGAAGCTGGTTGCAAAGACCAACACTGACAATCATGATACTAGGATAACCAGTTTATCTGCAGCAATCCTTCCTTCCGGTCCTGGAATGAACAGTGAGTTATATATTGGCATAGGTAACACACATACCCATGTCCTGGCATAAGAGAATGCCTCTCCTCTCTCATGCATTGCACATTTTGCTCAACGATTCAACAGTATCAGTGAGAACTTTAAGAACTATTCAGCAAAATTATTAATGTGAAGCACTAGAAAAACATACAGTTTTAGTAACCCCCAAAAGTTATGCAATACAGGCAGCCTTTGGTTTTTTAAGGTGAGAAAGAAGTGTCTTGTGGATCACAAGAAAAAGATGCCTTTCAACACTGCAAAGTTCATAGCCCAAGGCAGAACAATGAAGGAGACAAAGCGTATACTTTATGGCATTAACAAACAAGGAATTGTAGAATAAAAATTTCAAAATACAACATGACAAATACTAGAAATCAAAGTACTTGGGATCCTTGCTTGCAGAGCAAGACTTATGAAGCTAATAAAAGGCAGAGCCTTCAGCACCGGTAGCCTTCATAGGCCAAACCCTGGCAGGTGCTCTGCAGGAAGGGCTGCTTAGGAAGGTACAGGGCTAGCTTAGCCTGGAGTGGAGTGGAGTGGTAGTGGAGGAGGGGCAGGCCACCAGAGGGTGTAGAGTGGCTGTGCTACTTAAACAGGAGAGGCTCAGGAGCAGACATGTCTTCAGTCTGGCCTGAATCACACACACGGCTATAAACCTGTGATTCAGAAATTTTTTCAACTTTGCTTTAAAAAAAAAAAAAAAAAAGGCCAGCAGTGATTGAATATATTTTAAAAGTAGGAAGCCCTTATAGTATGAGTAATAATTCATTTTTACAAATAAAAAAATCTCTTTATTGCTCAGACTTCCAGAGAAACAAACTAGTCAACAGATACATTTCTCCTCTGTCCTTCCAATAAAAGTACTGAGAAATGATAACTATTAGAGCAAAGGAAACACTTGGGTAATAATACAAGGGAAGTCTATTAGGATATGAAAAAAAAAAAAAATCCTCATTTTTTAACAAATACTTTTTGTAACACCAACAAAGGTCTCAAAAGTTTGAGAGAGCATATATAGCCCCAGTGGCAGGACTGAAACTAGCATAACTGAAGATACTACTTTGGGCGAATATGAAACAGCCACTGCTACTTCTACCTTAATCCTTAATCCCACCGAAGTTACATGACATACCACAGCAAAAAGGGAAATTAGATACCAGTTCTGAATTAGTTTGAAAAGTTTATAGAGAGCAAAGAGAAAGCACTCTTTCTGTAAGGAAGTCTGGAAACTGCCCAAGAAATATAACCAAGTTTCTTAGTGAGGTAGATCTAATAGGCATTTATACCTTAAGTAATTCAGATTATAACCATTACATGAATTGCTTGGATGTGGTGCTTTAAAAAAACTGTATAAAATTAGGCAAATTTAAAATGTAAAATTTTAAAGTATGACATACAGAAGCTAGAAGAGATGTGAAAACTTGGTACTGTTTCTAGTAAAGTATTTCTTTCAAATTTTATTCCTAAATATGAGCAAAGCAATCACAAATGAATGAGAAGCAGTTACAAAGATTGGGCATGATCAGTTGCAGTCAGCTGTATTATAAAGAATAGATTCTACTGAAATACACACTCTTGCAGGAAGATTCTGTCAATGAGCATTTCATGGCAGTCACTACTGCTAGCAGTAGTAATAGCACAATACTACTGCTCTGGGACTCAGTTTCATCATCCGTAAAATCAAGGAGTTTAACCAGAAGACCTCTAAAATTCCTTTTAAAATCTCATGTACTGAAATGTACGTATAATGATAGTTGTGAAATACTCTTCCCATCAGGGAATGTCGGGGGAAATGGGTAAAGCAGATGACCGTTGGCTGTTTTGGGCAGCCTGGTTGACTAAACCAAAGGCCAAAATCCTCTTCCTAAAACCATAGCGCTTTCCTACCTTCTCTCCTGCCTTTAATGCCTTAGGCCAATGGTTCTCCCTTTGGAACTAACCTCAGATCATCTTGTCTAGCCACCCTGTTTTACAGATGAGAAATGAACCAGAGATGGCAAGTGACTTGCCTAGAGTACCAGAGCTAGCTAATGACAAAGCCAGGACTAGAAGCCAAGCCTGCTATTCATAGTCTGATGTTCTTTCCCCTAAGTCATACCACCCACCCGTTTTTCACTCCTGACAAAAAGCAAAACACAAAACTATGAGAATAGGGATGCGGGGGCATCTATTTAGGAAGCTCTTAGACTGAGGAGGAGAGTGTAAAAATATTTTGGATGACATTAGAAGAATAAATACAAAGCTGGTGGAAAGTGATTAAAATTTCCTTGACCAAGGAAATCAAGGAGCTAAGGAACAGAGAGAAAGATGGTATAATTACCCTTAGAATTAACAGCAACTTTAGTGAATGTAATGCCATGAAATTGGGTATTACTCATATTCTAGTGACAAGAATTCAGAGAAAAGTGATGGGTTGTGCCATCATGAGACTAATAAAACATCACCCCTCTAAGCCACTAACTCTGATTCTGACATTTGTGACCTGTCTCTGTGATAATAAAAGTACTAAAATTGTTCAGATTCATTGTTGCTATTATCAGAAACATTGGTTTGTAGGATTCAAAGGAACCAATGGAATGTGAATATTACGAAACCATAATTATAGGAGAACCACTCCAAATGCAGAAATGCAAAAAGAAAAATCTTTTACAGTCATTAGAAACTGAGGGTTAAAAGGAAAGAGACTACCTGACTCTATAAACAAGAATATTTCATTAACAGAAAGCGATATACATATAATTGCCTTGCCACAAGGAATAAATGGCTTCTGTTTCTGGCTAGTGAGATTTCATTTGAGATCATTAATTAGGAGTAATGGGAGAAGTACAGGAACCAATACTAAGAGCATCTATTCACTTTTTCTAAGGGGGTGGTAAAAATTTGTCCTTAATTTTATACTATGGAACTCTGATAAGTTCTACTTACGGTAATAAAGACAAGCCTAGATCCTATAATATTAAAATAATATACAGGATACAGCACACTGAACAAAAACTCAAAGACTAAAATAAATTAAGAATATGAAATACACTTACAATGAAAAATTATAAACATAGGGATCCTGAGTTTTTTAACTGTAAAAAGAACAGTAATATCAATCTGAAAGGATGTCACAATGATTGAATGATGTATAAAAATCTTAGCATGTCTGTTACACAGTAAGTGCTTAACAAATGGCAGCTATTATAACCCAGGTGAAGAGTAACTTCATAAGATTTTCATACTGGACTAATTCCCTCCTCCCTGTGTCAACTTCATTTTGAGGCATGAAAGGGATCACTGTTAGCCTACTAGGTAGCTTTTGACTAGATTACTGACTAGATCTACAAGAAAAATACAAATGGTATTTGGAAACCAAAGTGAGGGGAAAAGAAATAGTTACCTGAGTAAGCAATGGCTAAGAAAAACATTTTGACATTATTTTTAAGCAGCATTCATAAGGCGAGGGCTCACTCACAGTGACAGGTAAGTCCAAGGAAAACAGGCAACTTAGAAGTCGTAAAAATTAATGGAAATTGCTGTAATATAACTCCTAAAAAACTGTAAGACGCTTTGCTAGGTTATTATCTAATTTGGAAACAAGTCAGGACTTGTCTTCTTTTCACCTACCGACCAAGAGTCAGTATACTCATTTTCCTCTGCTTATTTCTAGGAGCATCTTTGATTTATTTTTCTGTTTTATGAAGCATTTAATTTCCATCTGTGCACGGGGAGGGGGCGAGGGGGAGGTTACGGGTTCGAGTCCCAGTCAGGGCACACACTAGGGTTGCAGATTCCATCCCTGGTCAAGGTGCATGCAGGAGGCAGCTGATCAGTGTCCCTCGCATCAATGTTGCTCTCTCCCCCCTCTCTCTAGGAATTGATAAAAGTATATCCTCGGGTGAAGATTAAGGGGGAAAAAAAGCAATGGGAAAAAAAGAGTGTCACTGTTACAGTCAGGGTCCATTTCCCATAGTCATCTAATTTTAGAAATCAAAGGTGAACAAAAAAAGAAAGCTACTTCAACTCGGGGAGCACATTCTTGGGCAGGACACTCAAGGCTACATATACGAAAGGATAAAGCATAAAGAAGATCCCATGGGGGAAGGTGGAAGTTGATGAATGAGAAACCCTTGTGCAATTTAAAGGCTAAGTGTGGAGCAAAGCTCCTGAAGGGCCGTGGATGAAAATGCAATTATTATGGCTTTTCTTCTCTCCTCAACGGAAATGCTGTTTGTGGCTGAGCAATCTCTTAACAAAGGTTCTAAAAGTTTCCAAGTGGCTTATTAACATTTATCTATTTATTCCAAAGTTTAGAATTTGCCTCCTTTCAGACATTCCAGGAGTCAAATTGAGAACATTTCTATTTCTCAGAAAAACATTAATGAATAAGAGCTTGGATTTTATTGCCTTTTCACACTATCCTAATATTCTCTCCTTCTTTAAAAACAACCCAAATATATCCCTTCCCAAACTATACATTGATCTTAGCAGTGAAATAAAGGAACTCTTGAATCTTCCTGTATATGGACTCATAAAAATAGGCCTAGAGACTTGGGGTGGTGAACACACAATACAATATACAGATGATGTACTATAGAATTGTACACCTGAAACCTATATAATTTTATTAACCAATGTCATCCCAATAAATTCAGTAAAAAATTAAAAATAAAAATAGGCCTAGAGGATAGTGACCTGAAACCAAACCCAGGTCTCCAATCCCCATCACAGTTTCTCCATTCTAAAAGCACATTTAAGGCTCAAAAAGAAAAATTAATGCCCAAACAGCCTCTGAGGCACATAGACATGGAAAATTTTTCTATCCTGGTCCTACAAGACATCAGATAAGATTTAGTCAAAATCTTCGACGATCCATTCATTTAGAAGGAGTTCTAACCTTTTAAAATCACATACTAACATCAGCAACACTATGTTAGGGACCTTGGACCACACTCATAATGGCTTCTTTGTCAAAGAAGCAAGGAAGTTATTTTGGTTGCCTGAAAATTCATATCTGTTCCACTGAACTGCAAATTCATATCTTGGATCCCTATTAAAGGTTGTGGATCTCCACATAAATGATATCTCTGTTACAGAGAAAGAAGGGGCTGCTTCACTTGCCAGAATATCTTCAGCTTTGTATCAGACGCTCCAAGTTTGGTTTCAACCTGGCTTCCAGTATGCCCAATGCCAAACTTCATGCTTCAGCAAGGGGAAAAAAGTCTAGATCCCAGGAACACATCAGATCTCTCAGATAAAGGAGAAGCGTGCTTCAATTGGACTAAGGTTGGTCACCTTTTTTAGCACCAATCTCTCATTATTTAGTTCTTCACAGACTAATTCTGTCAGATAAGAGAACCTGGAGATTGAGAAGGAATTAAAGAAGATAGTAAAATGGAAATTTCAACATCAAATATCCACAAGGCCAGGCAAAGCAGCATCTGAAGCTAGTACAAGAGAATGGTGGAATTCAATGAGCAGCAACTCTGGGGTAGTCAAGCTTCCATGGTCCTTGCCCAGCCTCATGGCCCCACCTGTACCCCAATCATGGGCACCACCTCTTCAATCCACAGCAAGTTCAATGGAGCTGAGGCTCGAGTTTGTCGGTTGTGAATTCGGCGTAGCCGCAGAAGGTACAGGATGATGGCCAATAGCACCACCAGGATACAGGCGAAGAAGAGATAGTGGTTGTAGACAAAGGAGAGACGGAACCAGCTACCGTGGGCCTGTCGAACACCTTCCTGCCGTAGATCCCTAGGGCACAGTTTGATGGTGAACAGAAATGTTACGTTTCAGAGAGAAACCTTTATGCTGATTCAAAAGGCCCAGTGATGTTAGCCCATTTATTCCATCCACACAAACATTCTATGATACCAGCTCTATTGAGCAAATAAAGCTGAAGCAGGCCCCAGCCCCAGGGCTGCTGTGTGATTCTTTGTGTATTTTCCTTTCTAAACCTAAAGAGGAACCTCGCAGCCTATACCCTCCAGAATCAGGACAAAATCGGAAGACAAAAAAATGAACAGTAAGACAAGACTGGTCAGAGTATGTCTAAATCTTTTTTAGAAGTTGCTATGTTTTTTGAGGATTCAGATCATGGGTAAAGAAAGCTGTCACCTGATGAATTCCATTGTAATCTGGATGAAAATTAAGAGACATGTAAAGCTAAGTGCAGTTGTCTGCCTGTCTGGACAGAAGCTGTTCTCAGGTGGTCTAGATACAAGATCAATTTTTGTTTTATTTGACCTGCCGTGTTTCTTTTTTCAATGTGACTCTCCAAACTGAAAAACTGCATATAAAATATGAATTTCTAGCTTCTCTTGAAAAAGGAGAACCGGCAAATGCTGGCAAAGCCCTTCTGCATGAAAGTCGCCAGCCCTTCGGGCAGGGCACACACTCTCCAGTTCCCCACGTCTCTGACTTCTATCACCTGCAAGGCTTCTGACAGTATTGAGTTTCGTAAAAAAGGCACCAAAAGAATAATAGTTCATTTTAGTTTTGAAATAATCCAGGGAGAGAGTACCTAACAATTATCCCAAATATCTTATGGTTCACAACACCAAGACATCAGGCTACCATCATTTGGTGAAAATATACCCCCTAGAGCATCTCACATCCTTTGTTTGAATTCAGACCCACCTTCAAGGCAATGGCACCATCTCCAGAGTGGCACTGGTCATTAGGAGAGATGGCTCTATACAGACAGCCTACCCCAGTTCTCTAGTCAGATATGTTTTGCAGGGTAATTTAAGGACATTTTAGTTTATCGGTCAGTATCTTGGAAGTGGTTAGTGAGAGCTCAATCCTAAAGACTGATTTGTGGTGAATCAATAAATCTGAATTTCTGAAATTGCAAAGCTGAGGAACAGACTCCAGACCGTAATGCTCAACCTTCTTTCTGTTTCAACATAGTAAGAGCTGTTCACCTGGTAGGAATAAAGGGAGTTTATTTGTTTGTTTGGGGGGGGGGGGGCTTAAGAAACCAACTCTGAGGCACTAACTAACATCTTCTGAGCTCAAGATGCCAGCATGGTTAGTCCACCTTACCTGAGTGGTAAGAATCGGGTTTTATACAGAATGGCTCCCAGCGTCCACTGAACCTCCCGGTCATAGACCAGCTGGGCTGTCCGTAGGTTTGGGTAGTCATAGGGAAAGTGGAATCCTTCATGAAGGACTTGGTACATCCAAGCCGATTTGAAACACTGATATCTGTGTAACAAAAAACTTTTTAAATTTTTTTTAAAGAAGAAGAAAAAGAATTCTAATGCCTGCCGTTGCATACTGCCCCTGGATGTCAGAAACCTGTCTCTCCCAGCTCCACCTTCCTCACCTCTTCATGGAGGCAGATTTGAGTCTACTTTATCTTAACATTTACCACAAACGTGAAGAACACCTTTATGCAGTGATAGTATTATGGATATGTTTTTCTTTTCTTTTTCTTTCTTTTTTTAAAGAGTTCTTATCTTCAGAAAACATGCTGAAATATCTACATATGTAATTATGAAGTCTGGCATTTTCTTCAAAATAACCCAACTATGATAAGAAGGGAGTTGTGGGTGGGAAAATAGATGAGACAAGATTGACCAGGAGTTGGTAACTGTTAGTAGAGAAGCTGGGTGACAGGTACACAGAAGTTCATTATACTATTTTTGTTTATGTGTTTAAAATTTTAAACTAAAATGTTTACAAAATGGGAGGACTGATGAGCCAAACTGACAAAATATTGATATTTATTGAAGCTGGGTGATAGTTACTTGAGGGTTTATATTAGTTATTTCTACTTCTCTGCATATTTGATATTTTAATAAAAAGTTTTTATTAAAGGAAAAGACCACCACTTCTGAATTCAAACCACTTGGAGAGAACTCGTAACCGCTGGTCCCCTTGGCTGCAATAAAACAGGCGCATTATTTGGCCCCTATCATTCGGAAACTCAGACTCTGATGTAATCAAACTCCTTCAACATAGAACCCACTCTGCACTATTGCCCATTCATTCTCCGTCATTATACTCTCTACATTTTAAGGCCCCATCTGCGGGAGAAGGAAGTTACTCACTTGAGTCGATGCTCATCTGCATGTGGTGAGTAAAGGCCGTTCTTGAATCTCTGAGTTAGTGCTGACCAAGCCATGCCACAGTAATCCTGGAACAACCACAGAGAAATGGTGCAACATGAAATCTGAGGCAAACTGTAACTTACCCCACAGTCACGGCTATCCCACTTCTAAAGCGGCTGGTGGGCTACTCGTTTGACAAAGGGAATCAGAAATGGCTTATTCATTCACTGAATGATGCAAGTCCCAGAGCTCGGGCCGCTGTGTGACTTGAGTGGACCGGAAACACTCCTTTTCTTCCTAGCGCCTTCAAGTCCAGCACAAAGCCAGGCTGAGACGACTCCTAGTCTCTCAGGCCCTGAGAGGGGTTAGGTTGGGGCCAGGAATACCAGCATCATGACACGAAGAGAGCTTCACTCCACTCTACAAAGGACTGGCACGAGCAGGTAGAGTGGATGGACAGAACGGTCAACGACCTAGCACTGGCCTGCCTCCGTGTGGTAATTTGCACCAAAGGAATCGTTCTTTCTGGTGCAGTAAACTAACATTTCCTGAATGTCTACGATGTGCCAGTGCTATTCCAGGTGCCAGGGGATCCAGCAGTAAATACAACAGACAAAAATTTATGTTGAATTTTCTTCATTTCTTAGAAGCTTACATTCTAGTGGTGGGACACAGATGATACTAAATACACATACATACATACACATGTACACACATAGAATTTGTTAAGTGACATAAATGCTCAGAGGAAAAATAAAGCAGGAAAGGGAAATAGGTAATATTGGGGAGGGCTGCAATTTTGGATAGGGTAGCCAGGGAAGGTATTACTGGGAAGATAAAATAAGAGTCAAAGTTGCCCGGCCGGGCGTGGCTCAGCAGTTGAGCGTTGACCTGGGATCCAGGCGGTCAGGGTTCAATTCCTGGTCAGGGCACATGCCCGGGTTGAGGGCTCGATCAATGACTCTCTCATCATTGATGTTTCTGTCTCTCTCTCTCTCTCTCTCCCTCTCCTTTCCTTTCTCCGAAATCAATAAAGATACATTAAAAAAAAAAGAAAAAAGAGTCAAAGTAAAAATAAAAGGAAGAGAAGTCCTGGCTGGTGTGGTTAAGTGTTAGAGCGTCAGTTAGATTCCCAGTCAAGGGCCCATACCTGGGTTGCAGGTTTGATGCCCAGCCCCAGTCAGGGTGAGTTCAGGAGGCAGCCAATTGATATGTCTCTCTCAAATCAATGTTTCTCTCTCTCTTTCTCTGCCTGCCCCCCCCTCTTCCACTCTCTCTAAAAATCAATGGAAAAATATCCCTGGGTAAGGATTAACCACAAAAGAAAAGAAAAAAAAGTAAGGGAATAAAATCATCTCTTTCACCTGGGAAAGAAAACATATTAAGCCACTACCAACTTGGGCAAGCAATAACTTGAGGCCTTTGGTGTTTGAGGGAATAGAATTTGAAGACGTTTTAAAATGAGAGAAAGATTCAGGCCATGGACAGTTAGGGAGCCCTCGGACTAGGGAAAGGAAAGGAAATACGAGGGTATTCCTGGATGCTGGAGACAGAAACCACAAACCGGGTTTTGCTCAATATTTCTTAAGGGCTGCCTTTAGGGAACAGAATAGTACACATACTGCAGACATTATTCTATTGGAAGTCTTCCACCAAGAGAACCCTAGAGAATCATGAGAAAGCAGAAAGGAAAAAATAAAAATATAAGAAAAGATTCTTCCTGTAAGTTTCTCTGATAAAAAAGGTCAGAGAACTACACACAAAAATTCAAAGTGACATCTAAATTAAAGCAGGAACTATAGAAAGCTAGTTGAACATTCACCTGTCCAGGTAACTAATGATTTAGGCCAATAGGATGCTTAAGCCTTATATATGCTCAAAGTGAATTTAAATTTAAAGAATACTTCCCCCATCACTGCACATTTCCACATCTTTCTAATATTCTGAGTGATCCTATACCTCTTCAACTTTTCAATAGCTCAAACCAAGAAAATGAAAATGGACTTGCCCACCTGCGTGACACCATCTCCAAAAGTATATTACAACTGGAAACAGCCGGTAAGGGGAAAAGTACCTAAAGGTGACACTACTTGGCCACGAACATTAAACAAGACTGCTGGTAAGATGGAGGAAAAACTATTAGCTGCCACAACAACTTTAGACCTGGGTGATACTATGGGTGACAGGACACTCAGGGAAGCTAAGCTTAATTAATTGAAGGCAGTATAGCAACACAAGTTCTTTAACTTCTCTAAATACTATACTTATTCATCTATAAAATGAGGGTTCATAGGGCTCCTGTAAAGAGCCAAGTGAAACCATGCATGCAAAGCTCTTTGCATAGCACACAGAGCAAAGTTAGGCATCCAATAAATAGCCACTGATGGCATGAGTCATCTTTCTTATTAATAATTTACCTGAGCAGCCTTGGCAAATGTCGGCCCGTGGTAGCGGCCACCGATGCGCAACACATCCTCCGTACAGTAAAAGAACTCAGAGAAACCATAGAACTCGCTGTTGTTGAAGTCAATTGGTGATTGGTAGATGCCATTCAGCCAGGCCTGGCTGGTGTTGGAGCGAGCCAGCAGGGGGCTCAGCATCGCCCCACAGGCAGCCCAGTCTCCTTTTCCTCGGACATGCAGGACCTGGCTGTTCCTCTCCACCACATCTGTGAGTCCCACAGGCAGGCAAGGATCCAGAAATGGATTGTCAGGACTCAGACCTGTCTTCTGGCCAAGCAACCTATCATAGTGACAAGAAAAAACACATCACTAGTGTACTCAATCTACTCTAAGAAACGCCTAAAGAAACCTGGTCTACGAATATGCTTCACAGATACCTTGTTATTGTTTTACATGACCCCAGAAACAAGAATGGAGTATTACCATGTAGTTGAGTCACATGAACATTTAACTTAAGCAAATTCAAATTTAGCAAAAAAAAGAAAGAAAAGAAAAAAGAAACAAAAAGAAGTATGGCAGTGATCAATTTTGTCCAACCTTTTAGTCAACATGTATATTTCCCAGTGTAAAGTAAAACTGGAGATGTGAATCTGCTATTCTCCATCCGGTCTTCATTCCCACTTGCCTCTTAAAAGTGCAAAGATCTCACCCTGCTGAGTGTGGTTCTAATGTTTAAAATAACAACTGGGAGGAGGTGAAGTAGGAGGAACTGGGGGAGTTTCCTGAGAAGGGGACCATGGCAGTGGTGCAGTGCCAAAGGCTGGCAACAGTGAGGTGCACATGCCTGGCTCTGACTGGGGAGGGGAGTTTGGATCCCGCCATGGACATTGCACAGTTCTGGTTACTTAGTCTGCACTTGCCGAGCAACCATACTCTCAGTCCTGAAGAGATTAATGTGCAGATCTTGCCAAGGACGAAAATCAAGTGGAGACAGAGTAACTTTGCCAAGTGCAGTTAACTATGCATCAATTCCTAAACAGACGGGCACTGGAGAGGGGACTTCCCGGGGTGAAGATGCACATACAAGTGTAGAGACTAAGAAAAGGAATGGGAACAAGACCACAACAAACGCCTGGGCACACTCGAACCTATTTCAAGGAGGTGACACCAACTACAAGGAAAACTCAGAAAATCATTTTAAGAAGAGAGAACCAATAAGTTTTGACATCTCAGGAAGCACAGGTTTCTCTGGTAGGTTAGCAGCTACATAAGATGAATAATCACTCTTTTGAATTAGGGGACTTAGATACTAGGCAAGAAAATGCCAATGCGTGGGGAGGCAATGCTGCTGGGCAAGGCCTGAGGCAGCAGGAAACAGCAGACGCAGGAAAAAAAGCAGCAGAACAACAAAGGAAGAAAATAGAAAAGGAAGCACAGTGACTAAGGAACCTAATTCCCGCATAAAATGCAACTCCACTATAATTCAACACACGTTTTGAGTACTTCAGTGAAGAAGGAACGGCTAGAATGTACATTATACTGCACATTTAAAAGTGACAATTTAATCTCAATCCCATGAGGTCTGAAGTGAGACACAGCAAGAGGTCACCACAATAAGTTGCTGTACTTTTTTATGAGTCTTATTAACACAGATCAGAATGCACTCTCACCCAGAGCAACTAACGGAGGCTCTCTAAGATGCTATCCCATTGGCAGGGCTGGTCAGGAAGAAGATGAATATTTCTAATATCTGCAGCCTGACAACATTCTATTTCAGAAGCATAGATCCCATGTCAAATGTACCTGTTTTTGCTAAGAGTTTCATTCAGCACAAGGTCCTCATATCGCTGTCGGGCGAAATTGCCCCCAAAACCCAGAAAGGTGGTGACGTAAACCCTATACACATGTTCAGTGTGCTGCACATCACAACCCAGGTTGAATTCAGCCAGCAGGATCTTCGCAGCTTCTTCCTGTAACACAATGTAAAGAGAAAAAACAGAATTTTAGTTTAGGTTAATTTCTACAAAACTATGACATTGCTAATACACCAGGCTTCATTTGCTATGACTACTCTTTAAAATATCTTGTAGCATTCTTTCATCCTCATAGCATTATTTTATTTATTTATTTGTAATATTTTTATTGATTTTTAGAGCGTGAGGAAGGGAGAGAGAGAAACATTGATGTGAGAGGGTCCCTACTGGGGATCGAGCCTACCACCCAGGCATGTGCCCTAACTGGGAATAGAACAGGCAACCTTTTGGTTCATGAGACGATGCCCAACCAACTGAGTCACACTGACCAGGGCCAAAGCATTATGAGGACCTTGTGCTGAATGAAACTCTTAGCAAAAACAGGTACATTTGACATGGGATCTATGCTACTGTGTTGTTTCATTGTTTTTCCATTTTTTATCAAACACTAAGATCCATCTTTACAGTCCATTATATTGTTATTTGCAAGTATATTCCTATACCAGTGTTGCTTTCTAAATTTGCACACACACAAAAGTCATTTGTTTAAGACTTTAAGGCCCAGTGCCAAGTGTCACTTATCCCTTCGTATGTGAACCATGCCTTCATTTTATCTGCTGAACACATATTAACAAATATAGACTAAAAAGTCTCACAACCTAGTTCCCAAAATCTCCAACCCTAGCACAGACTTCTTGGCAGATCACTAAACCCACATGTCCAACAGTCTAGTGGGATATTTGTACACATATTTTCATGAGATATTTCAAACTCAGCATACCCAAAATTGAGCTCATTGGTTGTAGGACTTCAGCTAGAGGCCAGAAAGACGTTCTCATGCAAACCACCTGACATCCTGGTTTGGTTGACATCAACCCTGCCCTTTCCCCTGTGGTTGCTCTCTCAGTGACTGGGCTCCTCACCTTATCAGTTAGTTCTCGGAGCTGGACCCTCGGAATCACTGGGCATCCATCCCTGCCCTACCCACACCACATTATATTGGTTTTTCACTCCAAAATACCCCAAATCTGTCCCCTCCCTTCTATTTCCACTTACATTGTCCAATTTAACCCCTTATCAGTTCTCACCCAAGGTTCCCTGACCTACCTTTCTTTCTTCTAACACCAAAATTATTCTCCTAAAAAACAGACTGATTGGGTCACAGCCACACAATTAACGAAGTCACAAAATTCAGAGCTGGGAAGGACCTTCAGGGTTTAATTATTCATAGACGATGAAACTGAGACCCATATAAATGCCCTACTCAAAAACCTTTGTTGATTTCCCACTATCTGCAGATACAGAAGCCAAATCCCCTACCACTGCACCCAAGAGCCCTCACGATTTCACCTCATCTTCCCAGCGTTACCTTTTACCACAATTGAAAATCCTATGCTGCAACAGGCTAGTCACCATTCCCTGGACATTCTGGGCTCTTTGCTTTTTCTGTGCCTTCATGCATTTTGTTCTCTCCACGCAGATGGCCTTCCTTCCACCTCCACCATGCAAAAGCCTATCATCACCCAAGCCCAGTCAAATGTCTTCCCTTTCATGAGGCTGGCGTGACTCCCACTCAAGCCTTGCAAATGGAGCTACCCGGCCAGTTCCCACATTGCCACAGCTCTGTTCAGACCAGAGGTTCTCAACCAGGGTGATTCTGCAACCCCAAGGGACATTTGGCAATATATAGAGATATTTTTGATTGCCAAAACAGGGAGCTTAGTGCTTCATCCTTACAACTTTATGAAGCAGATACTTTTATTATTCCCTTTCTACATGTGAGGAAACTAAGGCTCAGAGCAATAACACAAGCTAGCAAGTATCTGAACAAATATCTATACCCAGGCAAGTTGGTCTAAATTCAAAGACAGTGCTCTTCCTTTTAAAATATTGACATTCCTAGTGACTTTCTCTAAAAGGTGAAATACCTGCTTTGGAGGAAGGGCAGATGTTGAGGTAGGAACTTCATAAGCAATTTGGAGAGAGGCTCCTCCCATATCCAGTATTCCTACTGTCCTTCTGCGTCCTGCTGTCAATTCCTGAGGAGCTTCCGCATCTGATTCTGAAATAAACAAAGGAACTGAAGGGGTCTAGTAATTTAAAACCAAAATTAAGTCAAAAAGGAAAAAAAACAGCAATCCCTTAAAAAATTGAAAGCAAACTGAAAAAAATTAATTGTATCAAACGTATATTACACAGAGAAGATAGAATGTATCTTAATGACAAAAGAAACAAATATCTTAAACCACATTCCAGTAGTATTATTGGTAATATTATTTACATTATTTTAAAACCATTAAACATATGCTGTGGAATAAAACAAGCATGTATATGTTGATATATTTAGGAACAAATATTCAGCGTAAGAGAAAAAGGTGAGTATAAAACCACACAAACTGAACACTAACATCATAACCTGAAATAGGAGTTGGCGCAATCACTACGAACTCATGACGCACTTTTCTCTTTCTAGAAAATAATATTTCCTAGGCCTGAAAGCAATGCTAACCCAGGAGCAACAAGCACCCCTGGTATTTAGACCACAGCCTCTAAATACCATTTTCCACTAAAAGAAAACTGGGCTCCTTTTAAAAAAATTGCTCCTATCAGGTCTGGGATAAAACATACCAGATGAGCATGGAATACCCTGCTGTGCCAAATAGCACAGGAAACACAAGGTCACTGAGATCATGTTAAAAGGATACAAGAGCAAGCCCAAAGGTGCTCCTACTCATCGATGATGGTATGATTTGAGCACCCAAAGTAGTGATGTGATGGACTGTAATGCATCAGCTACATTAAAATCCACAAGTTCATAATAATACTGAAAAGAAAACTTCACTGGTTACCTTTGGAAGCTGCTAGAACACCAACTCATTACTCAAAAATTTGATAAATAAGGAAAAAGAATCAAGGATTTATTGTCTTTCCCATAAAAGCTGTATTTCAGGATAACCAAATAGTTGATGAAGAAGATTTCATTTTATAAAAATTCCAGCTGTTAAATGCAGAAGGAATGAAAGAATTAGCAAAATCATCATTTTGTAATTTCCAGTGAAAAAAACAGATCTAAGCAACAGATCACAACTGGCTACTAAACCATTAGGTGAAAAGTGAAGGGGGAATGTTTACAATAGATTAGATCAGGCTGACAATAAATACCTGGTCAGTCTTAACATGGCTAAAAGTGGGACAACTAGACATCACAACTGGACTCCTGATGAGAAACATTTAGCACCATCTATGCTTGATTCTTGTGGGAAGAATTGAATCTGAGTCTAATAAGATTTCTTTATCTAATCTCCAGTTTATAGGACATATGAGGGGATGAGAAACACGTTAAAGACCCCACAAAGATGCAGTCAACCAAATTTAGAACATGGCAAATTCACTCTATCAAGAAACTAGTTTTGTGGATTTTTTTAAATGAATGATTTGAAAAAAAGATGTGGGAAAGGTTAACTGTTACAGATTAAAAGAGACATCTCAATCAAGCAAAGTTTGTGACCCCTGTTCAGCTTCTGATTTGAAGAAGACAAATATAAATCAATATTCTTGAGACAATCAGGGAAGTCTCTACCTGGGTATTACATGGGTATTACACATTAGAAATTGTTAATTTTGCTAAATTCAAAAATGGCACTGTAGAAATGTTTGTGTTTTGTTTTAGAAACTCCTTATCTGTTAAGAGACATATACTAAAGTACATGAAGGTAAAATGATATGTCTGGAGATTGCTCTTTTTTAAAAAATATATCTTTATTGATTTCAGAGAGAGGAAAGGAGGGAGATAGAAACATCAATAATAAGAGAGTCACTGATCGAGCCCACAAGCCGGGCATGTGCCCTGACTAGAAATTGAACCCCGATCTCCTGGATCCTAGGTCGACGCTCAACCTGCTGAGCCACACCCAGCCAGGCTGGAGATTGCTTTTAAAAATCCAATAGCAAAGCTCTTTCCAGCCAGCAGCGAGCCATGGACATCTCTCAGGACAACTGGCACAATCGGCACAAGACTGAGAGCAAGAGAAAGCCCTACCACAAAAAGCAAAAATATGAGCTGGAACGCCCTGCTGCCAACACTAAGACTGGACCCCACCACATGCGCACAATCCACGTGCGGGGAGGCATCAAGAAGTACAGAGCGCTGAGGCTAGATGTGGGCAACTTTTCCTGGGGCTCGGAGTGTTGTATGCGCAAAACCCAAGGATTACTGATGTTGTCTACATGCATCCAACAGTAAACTGGTCCACACCAAGACCTGAGTAAAGAACTGCATCATGCTCATTGACAGCACACCTTACTGACAGTGGTATGAGTCCCACCGTGCACTGCCCCTGGCCAAACTGACTCCTGAGGAGGAAGAGATCTGAAACAAAAAAATGACCAAAGAGAATTCAGAAGAAATATGATGAAAGGAAAAAGAATACCAAAATCGCCAGTCTTCTCGAGGAGCAGTTCGGCAGGGCAAGTTTCATGCATGCATGGCTTCAAGACGGGGCCAGTGCGGCCAAGCAGATGACTACATGCTGCAGGCAAGGAGCTGGAGTTCTGAGGAAAATCAAGGCCCAGAAAGGCAGCCCTGGCCACGTGGCTCACTTGGCTGGAGCACTGTCTCGTACACCAAAAGGCTGTGGGTTCAGTTCCCAGTCAGGACACACAACTAGGTTGCAGGTTCAATCCCCAGTAGGGGCACGTATAGGAAGCAACTGATCAATGTTTCTCTCTTGCACTGATGCCTCTCTCTCTCCCCTCCTTCCTTTCTCTCTAAAATCAATGAAAAACATACCCTCAGGTGAAGATTAAAAAAAGGCCCATACAGGCAAAGGTATCCTCCCCCCTTCTATCTTGGCTCATGTAGTAAAGGTGTTTATCGTTCTAAAAAGGATCCAACAGGAAATAATACTTGTGTGGAGGGAGTGTGGGGACTAAAAAAGGGCAAAAGATTAGTAAGTGTTGAGTCTGGGTAACAGATTCATAGAGGTTCATTTTATTATTTACTCTACTTTTGTGGCAGTTTGAAACTTTCCATATTAAAAAGTTAAAGAGAAATAAAAGAAAGCAAATTAGGCTGGACAAATGAAGCAACTTAAGTTTTTGTTTTGGGGGTTTTTTGTTTGTTTATTTGCAACTTAAGTTTTAAAAAATAAAAACAACTCAACATTAGCGCTTACATGCTACTGACAGGGTATGACTTAAACCCTCAGCCCTTACTTAAAGAACTTCATAGGAAAACATTACTCACCATCCTCATGGTCGAATCTTCCCAAAACAAAGTTGATTCCAATCCACGCATAAACCCCTAAGACAGAAATATAAAAGCCCTCAATTAATTCTCTACTGCCACCCCATGTACACTTCTCTCCACAGGGTTGCTCTTAGTCTCCTTTTCTTGGAAAAAAGTGCAAACAGTATTTTACTGTACACTCTCAGTGTATGAATTTAAAATATTTTATCTTGTGGTGTTTTTCCTTTTAAAACTATTTGCATTTTCTAAATTTCCTACAATGAATAGGAATTATTGTGTAGAAACAATCATCAAAGTAAATCTTGGGGTTCTGGTTCTGGACAAGATGGAGTGAGCACATTCCACCCGCCTCCCACTGAAAGCAAGAGTAAACTCTGGAGAGAACGGAGGGGGCGGCTGTGTGAGAACTCTGAAAGTGAGAATAGATGCACTGGGACAGAGATCAGATTCAAGAACCACCAAACCAGCAATGAGCTTCCCACTTTTTTTCCCTTCTACAATGCCTAGCCTGGACTCAAAAGCAACTTGACTGAAACATGAACACACACACCGGGTGTGGACAGAAAGAGCCTTAAGTCCTTGCTGCCTGATCCAAGGAGCAGGAAAGGGGACTCCAAAGGTTTAGTGAGAGTGGTGGAAATCCCTTGCTTTGTCTTCTTTATTTTGTTCTCTCCTATAGTCAATCCTTCGGCAGCAGAGGTGATTGTCAGGCAGGTTCCTGGAACTCTGAGGGATGTGAATACTTCTCTCTCGCCAGAAGAGCTGTACCCTCAAGAGTTGCGGCAAATCCCTATTGCTCATTCCTTCCCCTCTGGCCTCCACCACTTGGCCCTGATGGCAGAGTGGACAAAGCAAAACTCTCGCTTACTGTCCGGAGGGCCACAAAAGTGAGCCCTCGGGAACCAGAAAGTGTTGGGGAGATAGTGGAGAGAAGGAAATGAAGTGGCATATGAAATCCTGGGCTCACCTCCAAGTTATACATGCATGGATCTGACTCTAAAGAGTATACGAAAGGTTTTGAGAACTGAGGTAGGGGCTGTACAATCAATTTATATGAGCTATGCCCAGGTTCCAGATTGGCCAACACCTGGCACATCCATGGGGCAAATCCAATAGCAGAGCTATGGCTTTGAAAAATGAACCAATAGGATCATAGCCCACAGAAGGCAGGTCAGAACTTGAGGCCTAAACAAAGCCAGGTCAACTGCTCAAACTAGCAAACAAACAAACATCAATATTCTCCTTATGATTGAAACAAGACCCAGAATGTGATAATGTAATATTCAAAATGTCCAGAATACAATATAAAATTACTTGACATGCAAAGAACTAGGAAAATCTCAACTCATAGGGGAAAAGATGGGGAACAGATGCCAACCCCGACATGACAGACATGATAGAATTATCAGACAAAGGTATTAAAGCAGGTACATATCCAAGAAATAAAATCAGTCTTACAACGAATGGAACGACAGACAGTCTCAACAAAGAAATAAGAACCAAATGAAAATTTTAGGGCTGAAAAATGTGATGTTGAAATTGAAAAAGGTAAATTTTTTCCCTCATGTAGGCTGCAGCTAGAGGGCATAAAATATAATTCATCATACAGGCCACATTTGGGCTACATGAGGACATACACTCAACTCCACCCCAAAACTACAAACCCAATAGTGTAGGTTTTTAGGAAAGCATCAATCAATACTGCATAATAAGTGCAATAAAGAAAGAGCTCATAACCAAAAAAAAAAAAGTAACTCATCATGATCAGTCCCTGAAATTAAAGTTTCTCCTTACTTTAATAATTTGTTTTACATTTGAATTTGGCAAACTTAGTACAACCCCTAGATTAATGTATGTTTTCAAAACTACAATTAGCTAACCAAAGATCCATCTGGAATCACCATTAAATACTAATACATTCTTATAAGACATATTCCTTGGCACAAAGTTAAAAACAGATATGAATTTATGACTTCTAGAAGCAGAAGTTGAAAACATAAATTTATGACTTCTAGAAGCAGCATTCTAAAGCAGATACCAATGCATGGTATGCAAATACTCAAATAAACTAGATAGCAGAATCAAGAAAATTATTGTCAGAAAAATAAAAATCAGATATATAAAGTAATCCCAAACACCCGTTAGACAGACTATGTGATGGTTGGCTGGGAGGTGAATTGGAGCGCTCCTCAAGGCCCAGTACCTTCCTGCTTCCCAGAGATCACTTCTGCCTGAGACTGTGAAAAGAGGAAGTCAAACTCCAGTGGTAAATCTTTCACTAGATCAGCCAAGATAGCCAACTGCTTCCTGCAAGAAAGAACAAAAAATCTAAAAGTTAATCATTAAATTATTTTCTAACAGACAGCCTCAACTTGACCTTCCGCTTAGCCTTGTTATGACTTCACTGTTCACCTACCCCATCCCTTATAAAGCCCTGCTTTTCCTTGGTACCTCCTTTGATTCCAAAGGTTTAAACTGCCTCCAAAACAGAGCCCCCTACTTAACAGGCAATATGGTAATAGTAATACTTTTCCTTTATATAATGCTACAATTCAAACAGTGTTAAAAGATGAGACTATGGTTCTACGCCTCTCACAGGCTTCATAAGCCGCAGGAAGCTGAAGTACACTTTCACCACCTATAAAATCAATGTGATTACATTATCACGACCTACCATGAAAGACAGCTGCTCAACTGAGGAACACAATCTCAGAAACAAGGCTTCACCTCACCACACGAGCAGCACTGTCAGGCCCATGGGTTTGCACGTAACCCTTACATATGCTTACAATAAGCTTGTTAATCTCTTTTTCTATATTTCAAGGTTGAGGTTTTTTCTTTACAAAATCTTATCATTTGAAAATCCCAGATCAGGATCAAAATCCAAAAGTCATAACAGTTTGAGAAGATTTGAAGCCTAGTATCTATAGGGTTGTGTTTTCCTCTACAGTTTTATGTTATCAGTATTTTCAGACAACGAAAAGCAAAGAAACAAAGCTAGTAGTAATATGAATCTAGAGAAAAACACTGGTTAAAAATAAGACCAATTATCTTGGATTTTTAAAATTACTCATTATAGAAATATTCTACTGGCTCAGGCAGTTGTCAGCATGACAGTGGAGAATGTTATTTCAAAGTGAAGAATTACACTTACTGTAATAATCTTCCAGTATAATGTCTAAAAAATATAGCTTCTAAAAAATTCATTATTATACACATAAAATTCATGCAATATGAATTTCACATGGGGAACAGGAGGAGCATTTTGCCCTCCCTATTGGATATGCTTCTTAACTACCCAGAGAAGAGGGCTTGCTTGTTTTAATTGATACGGAAGGAGAGGCACCAACATACACTGCGGTTGCGAATGTAAATTTCTGGTACCACCTTTCTAATGGGCAATTGAGAACAACGTGCCAAAAACTTTAATGTGCTTAACCTTTGACCCAGCTATTACACTTTTCGAAATTGCAAGGAAATCATCAGATAAAAATACAAAGACGAAGAATACTGCAGCATTATTTATAACAATGAAAAACTGGAAATAATCTAAATTACATCAATAGGAATTAGTTAAATAATTTATGGTGCATCCACAGAATGTAATACTATACAGATGTTAAAAGAAATGAGGTCAATTTATATCTACATGCATTGACATGAAAATTTCTCCAATATATTTTGAGTTTTAATGGGTTATAAAACAACATATGACATGATCCCAATTTATGTTAAAAAACAAAACACTAACTTTCATTTTCTAAAATACTATTTTTAAAAAACTTTTAATGGCAAAACATCGACAACCGTTGAAGCTAGGTGGTGGGTAAATGGGGATTCATTATACTGTTCTCTCTACTTCTATATACGTTTGAAATTTCTCATAATAAAAAAGGGTGTTTCTTCCCTTAAATATCACCTTTGTAATTTTTAAAGGGGTTTTCATTACAAAATAAAAAGGAGGTAGAACAAATTCTGTTAGTCCAGGCCTTTGTCAAACAAATAAAACCTGGTGCCAATAAATTCAAAATACAGTCTAGATGATTTAAATCCATTTTGAATATTGCTTACAAATGCTAATAAGTTAGCAAAACATTGTTTATACAAAACAGGCTTTTGCAGTGATCGTTACACTTATGTCAACAACTACAGTTGCCTTAGAGGTAGCAATGATTTCATAAGCCCAGGATTGAGCTAGGCATTGTTAAAAGAGGTGATCAGAAAACAAAAGAAAAGGCAAGTTCTCTAAAAATTCTTAAGATAAAATAGATATTAATATTCAGAGCTTCCATGCTGACAATGAACATTTAGACAAATGAGGTACAGCTACATCGTAGGTTTTGTTGGATAAAACTTTTTTTGACAAAGTGCCAGGGGATGAGGCAATCCTCTCCTTTGCGCCAGACACACAAAATGTGGCCAAATCACTGCTCTGCTGATTGACTCCAATTTTTTACCTACGAGTCAGTTTTTCCTCTGGCCCTCTTACCCCCTCCTTTGCTGTGAGACACCAGGCTATTTACAGACTTGTGATGTGGCACTACCTGTGTCATCTATACTCTTCCCTGGGTTTCTAAAATTTTGAACAATGTAAATATTACTTAAGTCAAAAACAAAAATTCTAAATTGCATGCACAGTATGATTGCAACTTTGCAGAAATTACATAGATATACAGAGAGAAAGGGAATATGACAAAATGAAACTGTTTTGATACAGTAGTGGAATTATAAGTATTTTTTGTTTTGGTTATTTCTTTTTTACTTATAAGATTTCCTTTAATGATGTAAGGTTGCAAGTATAATATTTTAAAGTTTGGTTTTAAAAATAAGTTTTAAAAAAGCTGAAATTTTTAAAATACCAAGATACATGAGAAAATAAGGAGCCAAAAGGCCTCACATGTTGACAAATGGCTGTATAAAATAATCTCCTTCTCAACAGTAAACCAGATAGTAAACCAGTACCTGCAGGTCTCAACAGAAGGAAGGAAATTCACTGAAAGAAGTGCTGACATATGTTATATTGTCTGGCATAAGCAGCCCTACATGTATGGCTGAAGTTTTGCTGTTGTTGGCCAAGTATGCAAAATCAAACTTTGTGGAAAAAGGAACTGCTATTTGCCAGGAAAAAAAATATTTAAGCTAATAAACAATGCCTGATGCCTATGAGACTATGAACATTCCAGAAGGATGGATTCCAAGTTAAGGGAGCTCACTCCCACACAGTGATCCTATCTGTGGAAGGGTCAGGGAGACGGTCATAGGGGAGACATCACAAAGAGGGGTCTGACCCAAGTATAGCTGCTGCCTCTTCCCCTTCCTCCTCCTCTTCCAGTAAGGAAAGAGGGATCAGATGACAAGAGGCCAGGCTACACAGTCAAGGTCAAGACTTGACTGACTGGGGTTGAACGCTGGTATAAAGCAATGGAGCCTGATCTTTGCAAGTAGCACCAACTATCATTAGGGAGCCTGGCAACGTTACAGAGAAAGCAGCATTCCTACCAGCCCCCAGGTACCCAGTCCCTCAGGTGACCCTCCTACTACCGTTAGTATGCTCCTCCTCTAGATGCTCCATGATCCAAATTTAACACCGTCACCTCTGCTTGAAACCCTCAATCAGAACTAAGAATCATTACAGCCATCTCAGGTAGATATGGATCCCAAAGAAGCAAATGACATGAAGGTATGAGCAACTGATTAGGAAATAATTGGGTGCAAGGGCAGATCTGCTCTATTTTTCAGCAAGGAGTCTTTTAGCGCCACCTGTCAACTCTGTGGTGAGCGCACATCCCACCTTCAGACCAGGGAACCAGAGGACACACATGGAATCAGCCTTTCCACTCTGGGGCCCCCATTTTCCTGTGTTTCTCAGCCCCTGCACCTCACCTCTCAGGAAGAAGCCTCATGCCCGCTGTGCACAGAATGTAAAGGGGGGTCTCCTTGTGCTTCTTCACAGGCACATGAGCAGCAGCAAAGCTCAGCAGAGGACGAAGGTAATCGCTGGCGTGTTCAGGCGTGTCTGCCATGGCAGAGATTCCTTAAGGAAGATAAAACACTTTCCTTGAAAAGCAGGTCACATACACTCAGAAGACTGACACCCCACAAGGTTCTGCTTGAGCTTCTAAACTTACTTATTTGAGGGGGAGGAGGCAATGAATGAGACATCCCTGCCATTATCCAGAATCTCAAGAGAAAAGGGCAGTTCGCTTTCTCCCAATTCTCCTCTCCTCTCTCATGCCTACAGTAGTAGATAAGAGATTGACAACGAATGTATTCCGGTTAGTACCTGGCTTGATTTTTTTAACCACTGGTTGGCTGTTACGGTCTCTCATCTGTTTGATGTCCAGCAAGTCATGGGGGTTCCCATTATGTCTTGGCCAAAAATAAACAAAAATCCGGGAGCCACTGCTGCCACAGTCCACAACAAGTCCATAATTTAGATTTGGGTCTTCAGTGTTTGTAGCTTCAAGCTCCCCTACGCGAGCCAAATACCTAAGCCAGGCAAAAAGAAAGCTCAGTATGAAGAAGCAGCCAGGTCCACAAAAGGCACCACCATTTAATTCTTGCTCATCAATCTTCATTAAGTGTCTAAGGCACCAGGCACATGGGACTATGGGTCGTAACAACAGAATGAAACAATACTGACCATATGTCCTGATGTATATGAGGCAACTGCTGGTCTGTTTGCCTGGAGGCCAATGAAGTTAGGTAACTTCTGGGGCAGTTTGTTATACACACTAAATAACTAAAATAATCCTAATAATTTCTCTTCTATCTACTTATCCTTTCTGTATATAAACATAAAGAATACTATGAAATGATATATCACGTAACGTGTTTTTTGGGTGGTGATATGGGTGAGGATTTTAAAAAAAGATGACGAAGAACATGCAGAAATGGCTCGAAAATCAAAAAGTGGAGCTGACTACCGTTCCTATTCTACAATGCAAAGTGCATTTTTTAAAAAGAGAAGAAGGTATATAGTTGAGCTTCAACATAATGCTGTACATTATTCATAGTATACAGTCAGGTAGAACTTTTTTCTGGATTTGATATGAGAGCAAGTTACGGGAAATGAAACAGGTGGTAAAAATCTGTTATACAGGAGAAAGTTTACAGTCCTAAAGATTCCATTTCATCACATTCTTTCCCATGATAATCAAATTACTGTGCTGAACTGGGCTCACAATCCACCAGTCAACTCAGAACAGCTCACTTCTATCACATGAAAGCTGGGCAGAGGTCTGGGTTCATTACAGAACTCTTGCAAATACTGACCTCGAAAGATACCATAGATAGAAAAGAAATAGGAAAGATAATCCATTTCCCATCATAGCAGCCCTTGTTGCTACTGGCTGGTACTTTGCAACCATCAGGTTAGCTGCAATGTAGAATCTAAAGCCCCATCTGGGAACTTTTTATACTCTGTAACATTAAAATCCATCAGTTACCTTGCACTTTGAATGACTTTTACTCATGCATAATTTTGTCTCAGAAGCTCCAAAGGGTCAGTAAACACTTTGAGAACCAATGCTCTAATGTGACTTTTTTTTTTCCTTTCTGAACATCCATCTGCTTTTCTATCTGTTTGTTCCCCTTTCTCTTCTTTGACATAGCTTCCCAGTTCTTAAGAAGCCTCCATTCCACAATGCTGACTCTTATAATGGCCACAAAGATCTGAAAGGGCCTCCTCCTTCTGCTGTAACACACGGAGTGCCATTATCCCCTGTGAGCACTTTACTTATATTTCAGTATGAACCCCTAAGACTTCTTTCATATATGTTTGCTCCACCTCCCCATTTAGGCTGTAAGTTTCTCAAGAGTAGATACCTTATCTGCAGTACCTGGATATTGCCACAGTGTGTCCCACATTTCTCTGATATGTTTCAATCAAAACTGATTAGTCTGGTCCTAGAGCTCACCATATGGAGCAGTTGGTTTGTTACTAACTCCTGATGTCTTTGTATCGCTATACTCAAAATCAGTTGGTCTCCTTAGAAAGTTTCAATGGCTTCCCAAAGCATCCCATCATCCTCTTTGGTTCCTGTCAAGATAAACAACTTTACAGTTCTAAATTGGGTGCAACTCAACTTTTCTTTCTCTTCCCTGAGAAGTCTTCCCGTATGCACTGGCAGAAAAATGTCAGCTGACATTAGAACACAAGGGAGAAAGATAAGACCAGAGGCATTTCTGTTACACTTCCCACTTGAGTCTTTGATCAATGCTGCAGGCAGCAGAAAGTCTCCATTTTTCTCATCTTGCATACAAATGAGTAACTGAAGAACAATTTTCCTGTCTGGGAAGTAATAATATCCTCTTTTTGGAACTCTGACATCTTGTAACCTATCAGGTTTCTTACACTTTTCAACCACCTGAAAGTCTTCCTCTGGCTAGGCTCCTCACATGGCCAGATCTGCTCCTTCTTGTGATTTGCAGTCCCAGCCTTAGCCATCATAGTCAATTACTTGCATTGATGGACCCTCCTGCTTTGCTGATGCTGCACTAAGTTAATCCCTAAAGAGGAACCAAAGCCCAAGAGAAAAGTTCTAAAAGCCTTGGAATCCCTCACATCCACCTTCCCAGGAGAGATCTGATTGACCATCACACACTTACCTTCTCCCCTTAACACACACATTGTCTCTCTATTACAGAAACATGATTTCCCTCTGGTCACTGCTGAGTCAGTGAAAAGAAAGTTACCCACATATACATCACCCAAGGCAGAATTGGAAGACAGTGGCTTTTCACTGCCATTATCCTGAGAACATTAACAGCATTAGAGTGGTAACTGGCCAAACCATTACCTAGCTTACATAATCAAAACTAATTATACCACTTCTAGAGTTCAAAAAGAACTCAGTAATGTGCCAAAGGTCAATCATAGTGGCCCTCATCAGCATGGGGCAAGCAGCTCTTCGCTGAATGTCACATACTCTTCAACTCTGCTCAAGGCTCAGAGACAAATATAATGACATTAAGGCAAAGTAGCTGCGCATGACTGATGTTAGTAATACATGCCCAGAAAAACATCTTGTAGGGTTACTCTTTATCTCCTAACAAGATTTAATCAGAGCAATCAGGAACATGTATAAGTTAAAGATCTGCTTATAAATACCACTAAGGACAAATAAGAGAATAAGCAAACAAATGTGAAAAAATGCCTTCAATTTCACCAGCAAAAATCTCTGAATTGTTCTATTGTACATAAGAATACTTAATTGATCTGCATATCCTAAAGCTAATAATTTTTTTTTCTAACCAAAAATAATGTCTCTTGTGACTTGCTTTAAACAGAATTGAAACTCCTATGGAAGGCTCAATTTAGCTGTGAACCTAAAATTGCTCCCCAAAAAAGTAACATCTATTAAAACAAAACAAAACAGCTCTGGCTTCTATCCTTACTGACATCCCATCACTCTCTAAATCTACCTTTCCCTAAATTCTAGCTCTAATGCAAACCTCCTGCTTTCTCCTTTCAGAAGCAATGTGGGTGGGCACATGTTCATAATAAAGAAGAGAAAAATAAAACTCTTAAGTTTTTAAACTACTGAGGGGGAAAATCCACATAAGGCTTCTAAAGTTCTGGGATGTTAGCACTTCAGAAATGATATGCTAAGTTCCCAGAATGGCTGAAAATAAATTTGAATTAAAATATTTTCTCAATATAAAGATATTTTTTAAACATAAGCTACTTTCACATATATTAAAATACAAAGATGCAATGTGTAAGAGAGATTATAACATCTAACTAAAGCAATCCCTCACTTATCAAGACCATAGAATGAATTTAGTGTTCTGGGCATATTTTCCTGATCAAGGGTTTCCAAACTTGCTCCCATGAAGACACCTGTAAGTCAGTGTGCTCCTGGCAACACAATACAATCAGTCCTCACTTACAGAAGAAAATCAGGAACTGAAAGGCACAGAAACATAAAACATCCAGAAAAAAACACAGAGAGAAAAAAGACTAGGGAAAAAAAAAAGAATAGAGCATCAGTAAGCTGTGGAAGAACTTCACATGACTCAATATATACACACGTGTTTGGAGATGCCAAAGATGAAGTGGGAAGAGCACAGAAAAAATATTTGAAGAAATAATGGTCAAAATTTTTCCAAATTTTTAAAAAAATATATCTTTATTGATTTCAGAGAGAGGAAGGGAGAGGGAGCGAGAGAGATAGAAACATCAGTGATGCCCGGCCGGGAGTGGCTCAACGGTTGAGTGTTGACCTAGGATCCAGGAAATTAGGGTTCAATTCCCGGTCAGGGCACATGCCCGGGTTGCGAGCTGCAGCCGATCAATGAATCTCTCATCATTGATGTTTCTATCTCTCTCTCTCTCTCTCTCCCTGAAATCAATAAAGATATATTTTTAAAAAAAAGAAACATCAGTGATGAGTCAGTGATTGGCTGCCTCCTGCAGGCCCCCGACTAGGGATCGAGCCCACAACCGGGGCATTTGCCCTGATCAGGAATCAAACCGAGATCTCCTGGATCCTAGGTCAATGCTCAACCTCTGAGCCATGCACGGCAGGGCAAAATTTTTCCAAATTTGATTAAAACCTATAAACCCATAGATCCAAGGATCAACAAATCATAAGCATAAGAATCAAAAAGAAAACTGCACCAACAAACAACATAAGCAAATTGCTTAAAACCAATGATAAAGAGAAAATCTTAAAAATAGCCAGAGGAAAAAGACATTATATAACTAGACATATTAAAGGAAGTCTTTAGGCAAAAGGAAAATGGTACCAGATGGAAATATGAATCTACACAAAGGAATGAAGAGGCCCAAAAACAGTAAATATACAATCCTTTTTTTCTTATTTTAAAATATCTTTAAAAGATAACTGAATGTTTAAAGCAAAAATAAGAACAATATATGGTGACACTCATAACATATGGAGAAGTAAAATGTATGGTAACAATAGCACAAAGGCCAAGGGCAAAGGGGCAGGTCCTTAAACTATGTGTGAAGAGGTATAAAATTACTTGAAGATAGACTATGGTAAGTTAAAAATGTATACTATAAAGGCTAAATCTAAATGCAATCACTAAAAAAATAAAAACAGAATTATAGCTAATAAGCCAACAAAAGAGACAAAACATTATATGCACATATGCATAGTCCATGGACACAGACAATAGTGATAAAAAGGGTGAGTTCATCAAGAGCACATAATGATCCTAAACATTTATGCACCCAATAAGCTGGCCCACAAAAACAAGAAAATAGAAAGATGCCTTTCATGATTAAAACACAGCATCACCATTCCTGAATCAGAACTGAAAACTGTCAATATCGTTATGGAATAAGTGGCATGGAATTTTACTAATAAAAGTGCAGTTTTCTCCAAAAGGGTCAAAGGTAGTAATGTGTTCAACAGCTTATCAAAATATTTATGACTTCAGTGCAAAGCTGATCAAAGTGATCTAAAGGTGACTCACCTTTCATATTGCCTATCTCGTGGTAATGAAGCGTTCCAATGTCGAAAGTCCATGATTAACAGAAGTAGAAGGAGACAGGATATGAAGAAGAGACTTAGGAATGCCACCCGCTGTCGGGGAAATGGGCTCACTGTGGGCACAGTAAAGTACCAGGAGGCTGGGCAGAGGTAGGAAAAACTGATCCTGAAATGAGACAAACATTAGTAAGGAAAGTCTCTACAATTAGTACTAAAAAATAGTTTTTAAAATGGATTAAAGCCCTTCTTAATAAAGGCAAAAATTCATGCCACCAGAAATTTAAATGTTCTTTTAGTCTGAAATTTTAGAAAAGGACCTACATGGTTCATGGTGCTTCTACTATATAAGTCAAAAAAGCTTTATCTGATCTTTTTTCCAAGTCTTCACTTTGGGGTGCAATTCAAAGAATTCACCTTATTTTGGTGAAAAGATGACCAGTCTCCCTGAGCAATCTTGTAACACTGAATCAGAGTACTACAACATTCCCACCAAGAATGCTGTCAAAAAATTGGACAGGTAGAAAATGCATTCAATTGATTTTTTTTTTAAGTATTTTAATAGATAATATATGCACATGGTAAAAAAAAAAAAAAAATCAAGCAGTTTAAAAGGATATATAACAGAAAGTGAGTCTTTTGCCCTAGCCCAACCATTTCCCTCTCAGAGGCAACCATTACCACCCAGTTTCTGTGTATTTTTCCAGGGATATTCTATGTATTCACAAGCACAGATATATATTATATATGGTAATATATCCGTGTGTGTGTCTCCAGTTTTTTGGTTTTACAGCATATGTACTGTTCTCCATCTTTCTCCATGTACTCGACAACTGTCCTATATCCATAGATCCACATTAATCTTTTCTGAAAGTTTCAGAGTATTATTGCAATGTATGGACAAGTGTAGTCCACTGTGAAGTTCGCTTTCTATAATGATTCAAAAGGACCTCAGTCTGTTTTCAAAGTTCATTGCAAAAACAAAACATTTTTTTAATCTCCTCAAGGGGTACCTAGCCTCATCCAAATGAAAATTTTAAAGAATATTACAATACAGCCCTTTAAGGGCTGCGCAAGCACTGTCCTGAGCAGGGGGTATGGGCTGGAAACTATTGTACCTGTCTTCAAAAGAATGAAACTTTGATCTTTGCATCCATGTGTCCAGATGCAAAGTCCAGACGCAGCCCTGGGACAATCTTCACTTGTAACAACCTCCCAGGTCCCCTCAACCTGCCTGCCACCCCCTGCGGGCCCCCAGCTGAGGAGAAAGCGCGCAGTCTTACCTAGCCATGGGTTCCCTTTAGTGGTCCAGCGCCTGTCACCTTTTCCTCTTGCCCTGAGAGGGTGGTCTCCGTGTCCCAGGCATCTCCTCAGCCTGCAGCCTGGAAAGAGGTGCTTGGGTTTCAGGCTTACCTCCAGCAGTGCCCACGAGACCAGGCCCCCACGAGAAGGCCACAGCGCCCACCCACTCCCCGACCCCCGCTCCAGATAGTCCCTCTTGTTCTGGGGCCCCGCGGTCCCTACCCGGGCTCCCTGGGAACCGGGCGTTCTCGAGGGCCAGCGATGTCCTCGAGGAGTCGGCAGTCCCCAAGCGGAGGGGTGGGGGTCCCCGCTTCGATTCCCGTCCCTCTCGGCCCCGCAGCCCTCCAGCACCTACACTCACCGGCCCAGCGGCGCGCCGGTTCCTTCAGGACCTCTCCGCTCGGTCCGGCGCGAATGCCCACGGACTCCAGCCCAGCCGGAAGGAGGCCTGCGCCGGCCGCGGCGCCACGTCCCCAAGGAAACCGCAGGGAGCCAATGACTGACACAGGACCCTCGGAGCGGGACCCGCCCCCCACCCGGAGCCACCGGCGAACCAGCTCCTTTGGCCGCACGTCCGTCCGTCAGGGTGGCCAATCCCCAAAAGAGTTCTCCCTCTAATGCCCGCCCCAGGATTTCCAGCGCGTCCAATCCGGAAGGGCGTCGTGCCGCAGCTCCGCCTGTAGAGGCGGTCGGAGAGCGCACAGGTGCGCGGCGCGGAGGGGCGCCGGGGCTTGCTGCGCAGTCAGCCTTCCCCGCGGCGCAAATTCTCCGCCGTCTGCTTTCTCCGCGGCCGCTTCCGGGACAGAGCGGCTCCGCCGTGCGGGCCTCGGGGTGGACGCCACAGTAGTGCACACCTTGCTCACAACCCCGCTGGGCAGAATGGCAGTTCTCCCACCTCAAACCTTTCCCATAGCCTCCCAAGCTGAGGCCTCGGCCTCTTGGTTTTTATCCCGTGAGAGAAACACATAAATTGAGAAAAACATACAGCGACGTCTACACCGAAGCGCTTATACCCACTCATTCAACAGTAATGGATCGTCCACTGTGTGCCAGACACGACCACGACGTGTGCAGCAGTACATGCCAGCGCAGCGCGTCCTTCCGGCCCTGGCCTTCCTCGTTGACGCAGCCGCCGCGTTTCCCGGAGGCAGCCGCTGGGCGGGGAGGCCCGAGTCCCTACGAACGTGGCACCT